AAATTTATTTGTATGTGCTTTTTTATTCTTATCTTAACTTTTATACTTTATAGAAAATTTACATTAAATTGTATTTGTAAAAATTTCGTCGCGATCGTTCTTAACGCGCGGTGATCGCACACATGTATAAAAGACGATAAACCGTCGTCGTCAACATTCTCTGTTGCTTGTTCCCCAAATATTATTCGTTTTGCCTACAAAATTTTCCATAAAGGCCTATTATCTCGTATTCGAATTTTTAAATTGATAGGAGATACATATCTTTTATTTGAAATAACCCAGATAGCACGTACAAAAGCGGGGACATAAGACATTGTAAAACTCTCGATGGTGATTGTTTTATTACGCTTCTCTGTGGGTGCATCGTTTTTAATCAGTTTAGTCTGTATCAGAGAGAAGCCTGAAAAAGGCCATTCCGGTCTTTTTTCGTGGGACCATCGAAAGCCTCTGTACGCTACCGCCAATATATTCATTTTCGAAATTAGTACTACGTAGCCACGTTCATTTTCCGACACTGCCGATAAAACATCATTCTGGTACGCATCCGCGCTGATCCGCGCTGGAATTAATGGCCTCTCTCAGGCTTCTCTCTGCTAAGACGTTCTTGAACAGTTCTTGAGATGTCGCAGATATGATCGAAAGTTGGAAGACTTCGATTACAAGTGCGGGCAAAGCAGAAATGATTTTATTTTACGTGTAAAATAATACTTATGCTTGCTCATTGTAAAATCCAAAACTCCAATAGTAGTTTTAACAGAGATACCGAATGTAATTAGTAATATTAAAATTAAATTACGCAGATTTTTTCGTGATTTAATTAAAAGAAATGCCAAGACTTCTTTCGATCATAATAATCGCACTTGTTTTAACGCATAAACTACTTATAAATTTTTTTAATTTTGCCGGATATAAGATTAAGAGACTAAAAAGAGATCCAGCCATAAATCATTTTTTTAATTGCTCATTATGATTGAATCACTATGCATTTCTTCCGTAACGATTTAGTTTACGATTAAGTAGATCCGTCAATCGATTGACGACTCGGTCGATCGAGCCGCAATATTCACTCCACGCCTGCTTAAGAAGTCAAACCACTTACCAGTAGCTATCAAGGCCACTCACTCGATTATTCGCGTTTCTTGCGAACTGAATGTAAAGTCATACAGAATAGCGCGTGCATAAGCTCGCGATAAATACTTTAACGAGTAACTTATGATCTATTAGGATCGTGGATCGACAATTTCTTTCTTCATAAATAATTGTTGACCTTTATGCGCTACCAATCGGACGTTACTCAATCACGTTGATCGTTCGCCATAGATCTTTTCTCATAAAATTCTCCGTATGTCGCATCTCCTCGAGTGTCGCATCCGAAACGGTTTCTTATCGTAATAATACCGAGACCGTTCTGCTCGTTACGTACAAAACCGTTTTCAGACTGCAATGTCCTCTCTATGACCGTCATCTGTGTGAGAGATGTGTTCTATAGCTAAATCATTGAAATATTAGTCTTTGCTTGATATAGATTGCGTTTTAAGAAAATATATGTATTTTTCTACCCGTTAAAACGAATAACATTTATTTAATTTAATTATCATACCATTACCTTTTATATGAAATAATTTATATAATCACTTTGCTCGTTAAATTAAAAAATCTTTCAGCTGCACTCAATTCTTTTATTCGGCAAGGATGTTACTCATTGTCGTCTTTGGCCGCGCGCGTCATCAAAATGATCTCTTAGACTGACTTAGACAAAGAAAATCGAAACGCATAGATTGCTCTCATCAGACGAGTATTGTCGACATTTAAATGTTCACCTGGCAATCGCGCTCCGGGATTGATATCACTTACGCCGAACGAACTTGAAACCGAACACGCGTTGACTCGCGTTGACCTTTCATTACGTGCGCGCGTTCGCGACCAATGTAGGTATTCTTTCAATTCTTCGTAAAACCTTTCGTTTCTGTGTCGATACTGATCTCGCCTTTCGTTTCTTCGCTTGCGCCAAACCAACCGCCGTCAGAGGTAAATCAAATCCAACTCGCCAAATTACGAGATGTGGTATGCAATCGTTCTTTTTATGCGCGATAATTAATTTTGCGTATGTTCGTCCAGACTCTTAAAAACACGCTGAAATTCATGAACATCACCGTTGCGACGCGCGTTCAATGCGCTTCAAATAAAAAAGCGACGCAATATGCTGGAAACAAATTACGATGTGCCGTAGATGCGTGCGATTTCTGTGCGTGTTGCACCTATGTATTACGTACATATTCCAACTGGCATAACTGTGCAGCACGTATGAATTATAATAAATACGTTACATTAAGTGAATAGCGTTATGCGGATTTCGAATGAGTCTATTTTTTGTTTTGATAATATCTGAGGATTATCGTCTTTCTGTTGATTTCTATATATAACATATAGGCTTTATTAAAAATCGCAGACTTTTTCTCGGTTACACAGATACTGAACCGAGAGAAAGATTTAAAGTGTCTATCTACACTTCTCTTCCGCCATCATGGGACGCTAAAAACTTGAAATTTATCTCTCAAACAGGTTTCCCTAATATAATCGGAACGACAGTTTCAATGAATTTTGATGAGAAATATTTATCCAAAGAAAAAAGGAGTTCGCGTATATCTCAATTTAAAAATAACTTGGGTGGATATATATATATATAACGGGTGAAAGTTGGCGATGTCTCTTCATCGATGTATAGGAATCGAAAGATATAAGTATCCGATATTTTTTATTCTAGGATTGGAAATTGATTGGTTGCAAAAAGAAAAACAGAATCCTTCACTTTTATTTTGGAAACTGTAATGAAACGCGGAGACATGCGTTTGCCAGAGGCAAATCGTTGATTCACAGAGCTGCTATACGCGATCTTGACGGGTTCTGATTCCGTAAAAATTGCAAGTGGATCACTGCAGAATTCTCCGTCGGCGCGCTTTCCTCGTAAATTGATAGCTACCACTTTTACGTGAACACGCGGAACGAAAATTATATGCGCGCACGTACTTACAGTAACTGGGCGGTGATATAAACGCGCGAGCGAGTTCGTGCGTAAATAACTGAATGAATAAACGTTGGAGTAAAGTGTACCGATGGCCGTTATGTAAACGTGAATCTTAAATATACACGCCAATCTCGCGCAAACTTTAAAAGAAACGCTGTTCACATTGCAGATACTAAAATCAGAAATTGTTACTTCCGTTTCAATAAAGAATACTTGAATAATGTTTAAGAGGAGGATGCATACATACCTATATCTTTATAAAAACACGTTCTGCGTTTTCTTGTTCCATTGGCAAGTTTTCGTTTCCTTACAAAATGTAGATAGGTGTCTGTGCGAGGTTACTTTCCCGGGAGTTCGTATAACAATCGCAACTCATGAGTTTCTGACATTTTATCCGGAAAACATTGCATGATACTGCTCTCATATGAGAATACTGTAATATCGTACGCAATCTCTACCTGTTTGATCTTGCGAAAACTGGATATAATTAGCGAATTTTCACGAATGAAGGCAAGCTACGCACGGAAAGGAAAGCGACTGGAAACAATTATGAAACACACACATTGCTAATGGAAATTGAAACGTCAATCATAATGTTCCCTCATTGCCAAAAGCGTCAGAAATAATTTAAACGCAATAATTCGATCTTAGAAATCATGCTTAACGTTTATCCGAAAAAAGCAAATCTATTCCCTTTATTTCGCGAAAATCAGCATTACATCGAAATGCATCGCTAGAGAAAGGATAGAAGGGAAACAATGATTTGCGTGGGCGCTTGGGTGAAAAAGACATGAGCGTAAATAACCATTGTGGAAAAGAAACAGACTAGGAATGCTGACGCGTCGGTCACTAAGGCTCCGCCAGCTTTCTAACAACAATCACTTTTATGTAACGGCCATTATTCGTCCCTTTTTATTATAACAAAGGTAAATACAAAGAGGCGCAACTTTCGCCGCATAATTGCGCCGCGGACGATACGCAATTCGTATCGTTTGACAAATATTCGTGTGAGATAATAAAAGTCGCGGAATATGTCGAGGAGTAGTTACATATGGGGGATAACCTTTCGGAATTATCCGACGAAGGACTAGAAGACCTCTTTGGCGACCAACCTTTCGTACCGGGTGGCACTGATAAATGACACCGTTCAACCGAATCTACTACAAAATATACGACAACGGAGTCATTTAAATCACCCTGTAGACGGTTGTCGACTGCAGGCAACTTCGCGATCGGGTTCTGACAGTATTCTGGAATTCTTTCAAAAATATGAAAAAATGTTCAAATATTAGTTGACAAAATTTAATGTTTAATGTTTACATTTGTTAATATGTAACAATTTTAATACGTAATGTGAATTAATATGTAATAATATAACTAATTTTACTATAAATTGTCAATATTCTTTTCTGATTGATATATATATATATATATATATAATAAGTAAAAATTTACGGTCACACATAGAATTCCAGAACACTTTCAATGAGAACAATCTATATGCAATCTATATAAATAATTAATGAAGAAATATTATTAACTCTCGATCGCTCTGTCTCGAATTGATTATTTTCTACAATATTATCCTCCTTATTTTGTTACATTACGCTCACAATTCTATACATGTAACGCAAGAAAATCGCAGTTCATACACTATATGTATAACAAACGAGATATACAAAAATAAGTGGCAATGCTTTTCGAGCACAAAACGTCTCGATGGAAGAGAGAGTATAATTAACTGTATAAAATCATTTTCCAAATCTTAGCTACAACAAATTTTTTCAAAATAATCAATTTCGGCGAGCCTATGCAATATAATTATCAAAATGTTAATTATCTTTTAAATAATTATCTGCTTACAAATCAGGGAGTATTATAATTTCTTCACTATTTATAAATTGGACAAACAAGTTTTCTTTTAAGAAGTCTTTTTTTGTCAAACAATTTTTTTTCTTTTTTACACTTATATCTTCTCACTTTATATAAAATTAGAATATATTTCTATCCCCACACGTTGTGTTATAAATTATGAAAAGAAACGAGAAAATGAGGGAAGTATTGTACGAGCGGAAATTATCGTTTCGATTCGAAATAAGCGGAAGTCGGTAATCCGTATTCTGGTTCTTAACGGAAATTCAAGAGATTCAACGAAGGGCGATCGCCGCCCTAATGGCAAATATTACACATCAACACACTCAACAAAGACTATATATTATACATAAATATATATATATATATATATACATATAAACCATATAAATCGATAATTAGACATTTATTTACAATCGCAACGAGGACGTGTAACAAAAGTTAAACTATAGCCTAAGAAGAAGAAGACATAGAACCAACAATTTCAGGTACAGAATAAAATTAATCAATTATATACAAATTTCACTTGTAATTATTGTAATTGGGGAAACGCCATAAATATTCACGATGCTTACCATTCATTTCTTTGGATACTTAACGAATGAACCTGATTAAAATCTAGACGATCGAATTCAGGCTAATCGAAAAATGAGCTCGGCGATCGGCTCACTGTACGTACCTATAGTTTGTATACATACAGGTGTTCGACGTTGTGGCAATCGCTCGGTGAACGTAAATTACCGGTTTCTCCGATTCCCCTCTCTCCATTCCGCTCTCTTTCTCTATTTCTCTGTCTCTCTTTCTTTTTCCGTCATTCCCTTCATGTCACGATCGGCCACGCTTGATCTCGCTGATACGCATAATCGAGGCGTTATATGTCAATTCTATAGTTTTAAATACAAACAAATAAATGCGGATTGTCTATGATGATTCGAAACGATATTCGTGTAACGAATAAAGGTGAAAAGTAATTCTAAGGTGAGAAATTTCTATGACGATCGGATTCACCGGTATTCTCTATTTTCACTTTCGTAAGACGCGCACATAACTGAGTACCGACATCTTTTTTCCTTCACTTTGATGGCTGATCGCGACAACCAGCAATCGAGGGAATCGAGCACAGTTCGGAGCCTCGAGCGTAAAAAAAAGTACGCGCGCGCGGCGACTTTCTCTCGGCTCAAGTGTGACAATCGTCGCCCGCGACACAATCAACAAAGTTGATTCTAATCTAAGTGTTTGATAAGCACGGTTAAATCGACTTAACTTCGATCGTATCGAAAATTCAGCGTCATCAAATCATCATGGCAAAGGGATTCTCGCGAACTTGGGCGATTCTAATTAATATTTACGATTTACATTCATCTATCAATCACGCGATAGAAACGGAATTCAGTCAGGCAGAGTAATACATTTTTGGATTTTTGGGAAAAAGCTATCGTAATTTGTTCAATTGGAAAATATTTTCTAGCTTTACACTAGTCGCAGAAATCTGCATGATATATGAAAATTTATACTGAGAGGAAGATATAAGAATAATGATAATGAGTGATTATTCCGTTACTTTGTGTTCGCTATTTCATTGAGATCGTGAACTCGAGGATGTTTTTATTCATAAGTTCTTAAACATCCTGAAAAAGAACGATTCACTAGTTGCGTTCACTTCAGATAATGTTTCTTTCTCGCGGAAGCGCTGATACATGGTGCCTCGTGTTTCGAATTCGGATCTTTCCACGTGTTCTTCGCGGGCGGATCGCTGAATCTCGTTTTCGCAAAATTCATCGCTTTTTGGCAAGCTTCCTGCTCCTTCGGAAGATCGCCTTCAAAAAACCGGCACATCTCTCTCACGGGCACAGCTCTGGCGCCTCGGTTGAGATCGTGAAGGGATCTGGCACGTTGTTTGCCCTTGGGACTGGGCTTAGAAGACGTTCTTCCAAGGTCTTCCGTGCTTCTAGCCAGGCGACCGCCTAATCTCGAAAGGGATTCGAATAAAGTCAGCTTCTCCCGCACCGTCACGTAGTGGTCCCCTTGACAACGCTCCAGAAGTTTGACAACATCCTCCTCGCAAGGTGGCATTATCAAGATCGGTGGAGAGTTCGGAGATGTAATTGCCGGACAGTTCGCGGACTTTAGACAAGGCTGCAACGACTGACGTGGAACGGGGATTCTGGAAGACAGAAGAGCCAAACGCTCTTTTCGCTCCCGAAGAGTTTCTACGTTAGCGATGGTGGTACCGGTAAATTGCTGGATCTGCAACATCTGCCCCTTGTCACGAAAGATTCTCCTTTCCCTGGTTCGACTTCTCCTTTCGTTGATATCCAACTTGAATATTCCGGGACTGTTGCTTCCACTTCTCGGACTATTATTGTTTCGTTTGTCGTCCTCGTTCCGATGATTTTCCTCGGTGAATCTCACTGTGGCCGACTCGTTCGGCCTCAGTGGAGGTAGTCGATCGATAATCGAATTTTCGTTTTGCCTTCGCGTGTCGATCGACGTAATAAGTTCCTTTTTAGGCGAGCGAGTCGGATGAACATCAACAACAACATCGTTGTCGTTGGCGGAACAGATTCTGCTTCTGGTTCTACCATAGATCTTCGGTAAGTTGTTGTTATTCTCTTCGGCTCTCGCTTTTCGTCTCGCGTCCTCTTCAAGAACTCGTCGACTTCTCGCTTCGTTTTCGCGTCTGCGCGCCTCTTTGTACCTCTGTATCCTCTGTTCCCTTGTTTCTGGTTCCGGTAAAGGAACGCTGCGGGAGTCCACTGAGTCGACGCTCGACCGGCATACGCCACCCCAAGGGAGACTGTCGTCGCTACCCTCGCTGCTTTCGCTACAACCCCACGCTCTGCTGACCGGTTGGTCCTTGTTGCTTATCACAGTGGGTATGCTTCGAAATTCTCCCAAGAGGTCCTCGTCGCTCGAGTTACTGCTGGACCAACCGCGCAACTCGCTCCTTGCCCTTCTCCTAGAATCGTCGAGAATCGTCGTCGTGCACATTGCCGTCTTTTCCGTCGGCGAGTCGCTCGGCCAGCAACGTAATTCGCTGCGAGATCGCCTCCTCGTTTCCGTCGGGCTATCCGGCAACGGAACCGGACCTCTCGGACAAATGGTCAATATCTCCAGGAAGTTCAAGCATCGTTGAGCGCGAAACGGCGTTTGCCGGACTAGTTCGGCCGCGATCGCTCTGACCCAAGACCAATAGATTGGTTCCGTGTCCGCCTAAACAGATAAAAGATTCACACGCTACATTAAAATATTTATTAATAACTTATCAGATAGCGTATGTTTCTAGAACATTAATAATTAAAAAAAAAATTTTTTTTAATATGTAGTTCAAAAAATACGTTCGCTTTTAGTGTTCTAATTTAAAAAAAAAATTTAATATAAATGATTTTCGCATTATCTATTGATTATGTAGACATACAGGCGTGATGCATAAAAAAATATGTAACTTTTATAAGGAAAGTCTAGGCTTTCCACAGAGATATGAATATGAATATGGCGACAAATCAAGACGATTAAATCAAATTAAATTTGATAGACGATTGCGAAGACGATATCGAGAAGTTTTTATACAAATAGATATAGTGGTTTAACATATAGGCGAGAATGCAAGATCACCGTCAGCAACATTGCCGACGGTTATGCATATTCGGAATTCATATTCTCGTACGGTAAGTATCTGGATGCTGCATGGAGTAGTCGAACGGGTCTGTCTACCCGCAGGATCGACCGTGACACACGATTTCGCTGGCTGGCGATTCGAAAGTCACCGGTTCGCTCGAATGCGCGAACGACGGACTCCGACAACGTGGAATTTGCTCGTTAACCACCGGCGGCGTGTCGATCATTACCATCCTCGATGGAAACAAATCTCTCTGTCGCCTAGCCTGGCAAGGCGACCTTCGTGCGTCGAGTGGCGCGCACACGCGTTCAACGACACTGGCCGATATCAGGCTTGTCTGGAAAAAAGCTCGCCGACAGGTTTGTCCGTTCGTTGTCTATCTCGAGAACAACATGGAAAACCCGCTTTCGATCGGAAACCATGACGCAGCGTCGAACTATGAATAAACGACGAGAGAAATATCGTGATAAAATGGCACGAGAGCTCGGCTACACACTTGTATTCCTAGGCAACGGTGCTCATCGATCCGCGATGCTAATCGCGGCTCGCGATCATCAATGAGGTTCGCGTGGTTACCGCAATTGCTTCAATTAGCATCGTTAAGTCGACTCAGCATGAAAACGCGGAACGTCCTATTACGGAATGTCGAAGGATTCGTCCGATTGACTGGCCATGCGCTAGCAAGATAGCGTCCTTGGAACGAGCCCAAGGAAGCGAAGGAACTCTCCTCGGCTACGAGAGCGCGCGCGACGTGGTGGGATTCCTTGACAATGGCGGGTCATGGGAGAGCGGTGCAACAATCTCCCACGCATTTATCACGGCAAGCGGATCGGTAAGCGGGTGTTGACCTTGCCTACTGGCCTTATTAAGATCTCGCGATTCGACGAACGGGCGAGTGTGTTACATCACGAGATTCACGAGCCGTCGTTCCTCCTCCGCCACCTGGACATCCGCGGCCTTGGCAAGGATACCTCATATATCCCATGTTGTTTAAGTTAGCGTTTTGAGAGCATGCTTTATCTTACATTCGTGTGCCGAAGCGTTTTCGTCAAGGTTAGTCGAGCGAGCGCGCGTCTCATCGCGGCTTAGGGAGATCGCCGTGCGCTAAGTGAGCTCTAATTGGATTATTTTGCGAGTAAAGAGAAAAAAGCAAGGTGAAAATCTGATGCTACACCAGGGCGAAACTCGTAAAACGAGTTTCGAGGACTCTTGGTGCGATCTGAAAGCGGCTGGAGACCGACGACGGCTTCTATGCAAAGCGAGGAGAAATCTGCACGCGGATTTGAATTTTGGGTGATTTTCTTAGGGAGAGATCGGAGATCGGAGCCTGACTCGCGGTAGATTCGCACGGACTGAAAATATATTCGCTCGCCGTTCGCTTAGCTTACAGGAATTGTATAACGCGTTAGAAATCGAATGGCGACGCTGGCGGGTCCGTATAATTAGAAGTTGCAGCGTTCAGCGAAACGGGAGCCCGCGTGGCTCGCCCGGCGCACGTGAAAGTGTTTACGGCTGAGGAAACGGATCGTGCCGGAGATAAAGGCCATTTACATGCAATTACATTGCGTGGTGCGGCATATTATTCCTCCCTCGGCCTCTCCCGTCTTGTCTTCGTCCACGCTTCTCTCGTGCCTTTGCCTTATAGTTGCCGCCGACCGGCGAGGAACGCCGGCGTCGCCGGCCAAGAACGGCCGATTCTGTCTTGTGGAACTATGCCAAATCGCGCGAACGCTTTCGGCTCTCACGAAAGCCTCTCTAGCCCTCGAAACACGCCGTTACGATGGTCAGGGTTCAAGAGTAATCGGAGAATTCCTTTCCGATCGACTACAAATCGATTTCTCTTACAAAATTGTGGAATTTGTGACAAAATCGGCAAATTAATGTTTATCAATCTATAAAAAATTGCGAAAATGTTTAATTAGCGACAATAATTACCCAAAAGGTGACGAGCGAATGACCCTGTGAATCGCTCAAGGTAAAACCTAGAGCGAACGTATGTGGTTGACAGAGGCTGGGTGGTGCTTGACGAAGATTCAACGCTCGCAATGGTAACTTCGTCCCAGGATTACCTTCGACCCATATCCAGCCCATTCTGATGGAAACCATTCTTCTTTCGCCATAATGTTCCACATACAACTCGCCTGAAACCCAATAACAAAAATTTCAATAACGCATGTAAATAGATTAATTCGCTATTCTATATAACAATTGAGAATTAATTCATTCACAGTGATTAAATCTCAATTCCGCTTAGAAATTCCCCGACGATAAACTTTCAGTTTCGTTGCGTTCAAATACAGCACATGCCGTAAATGGTAGTGGCGCTATTAATAGTCGAGCCGCAATTTCAAGATTAAGTCAGAGGAGAATCGATGATTCACGCATTTATCGCGAATGTCCGTAACGAGTGACGGAAGAAACTTTGCATTGCGAACAATCAGTATCTGCGTTACGATAGTATAAAGTATAAGTGCAATCGAAAAGGTAAAAGCTACCGTATATCTCGTCAATGGCGCGATCGCGTTTATCAGTCTAATGAATATTTCATCACGGGTGAAACCGCGCGTTGTTGCAGCCTTTCGTGGAACGCGAACGTCGCAAAACCGATTTCCAGAATTTCCCGCCTCCCGATTTCGCTTTATCCCGAATTAGCCGATAGCGCTCGACGTAATCGATCCCCGACGTCATTTCGTGCCAAACCAATGAGTGTTTCGTCATTCGGTTCGCGCCCGAAAGACCGCTCCGTAAAAGGTGTACGTCACGAACGCTCGTTAAAGTCGTGATTTACGACGTAAGCTCATCTTCCACTTTAGTGGAAAAAAAGAAGAGAGAATTTGCGGGGGAGAGGACTAGGATAAGGGCAACGAATCGAGAGATTGACGTCATTTGATCGAAAGACGTGGGCGATAAGCCCACGTAGTATCATCGGCACCCTGTGGTTATTTCTCACTCATCTTGATTCAGACTGAACGACTATCGACCGAAAACAACGTCAAACACGCCTACGTTTCTCAACGTGACACTCAGGCGACTATTTTCGCCAGAGCCCGGGATGGAAATAGATCCTGCCGCGACTCCTTCCTGCGGTGGATAAATACCCGTCGTCGCCCTCGTCTAATCTTACAACGTCTGCGAGACAATCTGAAGTTGTTTGCCGTCGAAATGGCGGCAATTTGCAATCTTTATTTGTGAATGAAAATATTATTCCACTCCCATCGGCAATATTAAATTACGGAGATAAAATTTTTCTCCCAATAATCCATTTCAGACCTTGTAAAAAGACTTTGTAATTTCTGCAATTACTAGCTGATTAATTGTCATTATATTCGATGCTATGGATTAAATCCACCAAGGAATTTAATGACTGTTTGACGTTTCGTCGCTCTTAAATGTCTTTAAAAAATGAGATCCATTAAATGTCTCATTTTTCAAAAGTTATCACAACCATAATTTTTAAGACATTTACGAACGCTAGAAAAGGACACATTAGGATACGATTGACTGAATGCTTAGAATTCCTCTGGTTGATAGTAAGAATCGGCGTTTATGCTATATGCCTTAGGGTATTTTACCTGCATTTCTTCTTTGCGTAGGTGGATGTCGGTGGACGTGAATATAAAAGAACGACCTATGACACGCCCTTTGTCCGGAAATATTTCTTTTCGATAATGACTCGCTCAAACAATCTCGTCGATTAACTCTTTGTTCTCCAATGTTAGGTAATCCTACTCGTTTCGCTTTCTTACGTTGTCGCCATTATTACGACAGACAACAATGGAGAGTCTAATTCTAATAGAAAATTAGTCTCAAGGATTGCCATAAGTGCAACTAATTCTTCGTAATAGCGCCAAGTAATGCGCGTTGAAAATCGAGATTAACAATAAATATTGAAAAATTAAGGATTAGTATCGTTGAGCATTCAGCTTAAAGTACCTACTCGCGAATTTGTGCAATATTCGCGCGATGTATCTCGTGATACGCGATAATTCATAAAAGCAAACAGAATTGTGTATTGTGCTGCTTTTGGATAGCTAGGAATCAGCGTTACATTTATGAGTCCCATATTTCTCGGATGGTGAGTAAAAATCTCGCGGTGCATCATTAGAGTGAAAGCTCCGCTGTTTTCACGGGATGAAATTTGCATCAAGAATGCAAATTATCCCGTCAGTAAAATGATTTGATGATGTTTAATAACATCGCAATTGCTAAAATTTGCAGAGTGATAGAACTGGCGGGACACATTATATTCTCTCATTTTCTGTTTCCATCAATAAACCAGTGGAATTAAGAATCAAGTGGAACGAATTTTAAATTAATCTTGTAATGTTTCATATCGATCACACGACATCAGATACTAGAATCACTTTTACGAAAATTATGTGAATAATTCTCGCGATTTAAAATAAGATAAAAAAATGTATGATACTATTACAGATCACACTTTATTTTTTATTACAATTTTTTTTATCAGAGTCTCCACTTTTAGTAATCGACTTTTCTTTAATCCGAGATCATTAACAGACTATGAAGCAAAGATGAGTGAAGGCAAATTATGCCTATGGTTTCGTAGATTGTACGGATGTTACAAATGATGATCTTCTCTAACCGTGTAATGATTTTCACGCCAGTCATAGTGAGTCACCATAAATTCATGGTCATTCCATTTGTCTATGCCGACAAAGCTCTCTACGCGTGAGATTTTTCCACGAACGCGTTACGAAGTATATTGACTCATCAGTAAATCTCGCCGAAGTGCTTAAATTTTTTTTAAATTAAAGCAGCCAAGCGCATCGATTGCGCCAACAATTATATCATTTGAAAATGTTAATTTGCTCTAATTGCGGAAGAGGTCATAAAGTTTCTAAACGAAAACTCGGGCGAGGCTTGGTGATCGAGCGAGGTTTCGAAAGTTAAATTTCACGTCGTTAATTCGACGGTTGCTCAAGAAATTTATAATATACGAATTTTTGAAGAACACAACAAACAACAGATGTTTCCGCAGCTTACAATGCCGAAGCATATGTTGAAGTTTTCTCTCCACGAACCTTAGTTTTCTGGTCGAAAAAGTACATTCTCAGGAAGCTCTCGAGCGGGAAACACCGAGCTGTGAAAACCCTCGAGAGCCGAAGACTCTCCGAAAGAAGATAGCGATGTCCGCTCTCACGGTCCATTAAGCTCCAGAAAGTGAGCGTGTCGCGCTCATAATGTGTGAATGATCCATAAATAAAGTGGTCGTTTCTAAACCCGCATCCTGCCGTTCTGAAAGCTTCTCGGACAAACGTATCGGGCTATTACTTGGAACGTACTGCGAAAGTCTATGCGTTAAATTTAAAGCCGCCGTTTTAATTTCTTCGCTGATGTATAACGAGATATATATCGTTCTACAATTTCTCCTACATTTATTTATTATCAATATGCTATAAAATATAGTGACAAGAATTACGGTTTCTCAGAAGTATACCCAGTGAAATATACACAGGTATATTTTAATGTAGTTTATGGGAATATGTGGAAGAAGCAAGTAGACGAAATTAATCTGGAACTGTGTCGCATTTCTCAGGCGTGCAAAACTCCTTATCTTGGCGTTACGAGCAGGAAAAAAGGAAAGTCGGGCGACACTCTGCCATGCAATTGCAGAAGAACAATGACGCGTCGTATTGTATCGCAACTCTCTCTTTCTGTGAAAAAGCAACGTTCCTGTGCAAACACTGAAGAATGAACATTGAAGAAAAAGATATGTGACTACCTGTATGCATAACTACCTTTCGCGCAAGGATTAACCCTGGCATTACCGTGATCAGGAGAATGATATTTGTCTATTACTAATGTCAAAAAATTAATTAGTAAAATGAGCTACTACATAAATAAAAAATATAAAAAATTATGATATGTGCAGTTATGAAAAATTGTTATAGAGTTTGATTATTCGGATCATATGAAAATACTTTTTGACTAGATATTCATTTATTAAATGTGCACATATGCATATAAATTCCATATTTTTTCTTTCTACGTGAGTGCAGTAGCATCGGCAATTACCATGCCGAAAAGTGTCGATACGGCATCCTATGAATACGTACAAGAATGGAGGACACCATGCACGGTTGCGCGGTAGCAACTTAATGCACGTCGCTGCATGTCTCATTCCGCCCCTTGCGGTTAGCCCACGTCGCGTAAAACTCAGGAAGCCGTTTGTTCTTTTAGATTCTAAGATAGGACCCGGAATGTCTGTCCCATCCGTCTACCGAATATCTACCGGGTGAACTTTTCGAATCATTAAATTTTGAATCAACCGATTAATCATCGGTTACACTAATTTTCGCAACAAAAAGCTTGGAAGGGACGTGCAAGGATACACCGATAAAAACTACGACTGACAAAAACTGCAAAGCCGACTATATCGAGGCAGGAGAATCCTACGATAATCCTATGGTGGATAGGGTCAATGGTGGAATGGTTCCGAGGGAAATGCAAGGACCTAAACATCTCTTCCGCACTTTCTTTTTGCCACAACCACTTTTTTCCGTTGCGCTCGGTCAACACAGGAGATCCTGTTCAACAGTTATTCATTTTTCACCTCATTCCTTCACGCTCCTCTGCCTCCTGTCAGTCCTGGCATGTCATCACGACCAAACAGGACCCCGCCTTTTTTTCTTTCTTCGCGGGCCGGTTGCGCCGCGTCTTCGGAAGCACCATGAATTATTTATTCGTGAGGTTCATTGGGAGGAACACCTTCGAATTCCGGTGAATGTCCTCGATTTTCCACGCAGCCTGGCCTCCCTTCGCCCTTTTACCCTTTCCCGCGAGCGTTACAAGGACGAAAATTAGAATTTCATGGCTGCTAGTGATGAGCGGAAAAAAACCCCGGAGAAGGTCGGCAATGCGCTTTCTCTGTAAGCCCCGCATAATGAGATTTGCAACCGCATAAAGGAGGAAATATTACGAAATAAGATTATGCCTCTGACGCGAGAGCGATCACGTTTTCCACTTGAGTCAAATATGACATGTGTGGTATTTTTATCGAGACTAAAATTTTCTTGTTTTAATGCTATTAGCCTGAGATTTTATTAAAACTATTTTCACAATCTATTATAATAAAACTACATTAAAGAAAGATAAATTAATCTCTTATTATAGTTGT